TTGGATTGGCCCATGTGATTTATTTCTTTTTTTTGCTCAATAATCTGTGACCAGAGGTCTCCAAACTCCCCCCATCCCTCCCGAGCTCATCCAGAGATGTGACTGGATACGCCGTTACCGTGGAGACCACCTCTCCGCACCGTGGCGGTTGTTGGAAGTTCCTAAACTTCCTAAAACCTGCTCAGGTGGTTTGACTTTTTGGGGGTTTTATCAGCACAAAATGAGCTGAAATGTGAATTTGTGCCTCCAGATTAGCAAGATCCAATAGATTCAATTCAACTGAATTCACTAATCAAGTTTAATAACCGTGAAACAATAAGAATCCTGTTAAATCCATCATTTATAGTCCAAGTCAGACCAGTTTATTGTCATATTATCAGTCATATTCCCTCCAGCCTTTTCTTTTCTACCCTCTTAATCCACCCTGTGTAGGTTTCCAATTCAATCTAATCCAATTCAATCCAGTTGTGATAAACAGACACGTGCAGGCCTACATCCCACCTATTATCGTAAAGAAAAAAATCTGTATTTAAAAAACTATAATTACCAGTTTGGATTGCTACCTGTGATTTTTTTGCTCAATAATATGTGACCAGTTTCTTGTTTTATGTTGAATTTTAACTTTAAAAGTGGAATATTATATCCTGAAAGTTCAGAGTTTTTCAACTAAATGACCTAAACGCCAGACAAAACTCACACATTAAAATGATTTTTTAGGCTCTTTTTGTGTTAATTTTTCTTTCTTTTTCATACTAAATCAAGTTAGTATGAAAAAGAAGCAAAAATTAACCCAAAAAGAGCCTAAAAAGTCATTTAATGTGTGAGTTTTGTGACACCTGCAGGAGCGGCTCTGATTGGGCTGTTTGGTGTCAGTTTTTGTGTTTTCTGTTGTGAAAATGCCTCCACACAGACTCACACAGCCCTCTGATATCACTCCCTAAAGACGACAACACACCCTCCCGCACACACAAACAGCAGAAGCATTATTTAGAGAGACTGGTTTCTGATTATTTTAAAAGGGACATATTATGCAAAACCAAGTTTTTAACCATTTGATTATGTACATTTGGGACTGTGGAGGGCCTATCAGCAGGAAAAGTGTGAAAAAAAATGACTCAGTCATGTTTTTGTGGGCCGCCTCAGTCTGAATCCAGGAGATAAATCAGGAGGTTTCAGGAGTGGGTAGTTTCTGACGTCATTAGCTGGGATTTTGACCAAAGCTTGTCACAGACATTACATCAGGACACCAGGGAACTAGCTTAACTTGTTGAAATAGGGTAGAATATGTCTCCTTTAAATCTCCCTCCACTTCTTCTCTTTCTCCCCAGTTTCCCCTCCTTCCCTCTGTTTTCCTGCTGTCATGCCAGCTGATGAGCCGGGGCTCCTCCTCCTCTCCAGCTTTTCCTGCCCCCCCCCCCCTTATTTCCATATTAGAGAGCCCCCCCCAGCCCACCGACAGACGCCGTGCCGCCCACATTCGGCTCTCTTTCCTCTCTTTTTCCTCCCCAACTGCGAACCCTCCACGGTTTCTGTCGGCTCTCTGCTCCAGAGGTGTCCCAACTCCAGCTTTAACCCTTTAAAGCCTGATCCAAGAATAAAACAAAACAGAAAATTACTTTTTTTTTGTTTGAATTCCTTATTTGGCCTTTTAAAATATGTAAAAAGCAAAAAACAGAAATTCATTTTTAATACTAATAATCTATTACTATGCGATAAGTCAAGATTATATTTTGTGTAGTCTTCTGCCCCCTGTTATCA